TGGCAATGTAGAGGCTCAATGACTAACCAGGTGGCTGTAAGCTGGTATTTATTTTCTAAATGTCACGTGAGCAAAACTTTGCTTTTGAGGTAGCGTCAGGGGCGGAACTACAGTGCCGCCAGACCCCGCAATCCGGGGGGGGGGGGGGGGGGCACGACATTTAGGGGCCCATAGCCGACCATAATAAATGTTTTATATATAGGCATATAGGCATATAGGCATATATATATATATATATATATATATATATATATATATATATATATATATATATATATATATATATATATATATATATATATATATATATATATATAGGAGGGGGCCCAGAATTTTTCTTTGCGGGGTGGCCCTTTTTTTCTAGTTCCGCCACTGGTTAGCGTAAACGATTTTAAAAACTTTCTAACTTAAACAAAACAAAATCACGATGTTTTCCTTTGTTTTCAAAGATTGAAAATCTAAACGATGAAACATTTGTTATCGGTTACTTACGCTTTTGTGATATTTACAAAATGTATTTCTTAAATGAATCTTACCATTAGCTATTGAAAAGTTAATGTGTTTTTAGAATGACTAATGCTTTGCGAATGTATGTTTCGTTGGCATTTATATAACTTAGTTTTCTAACCTCATTAAAATGACATTCAGATTCATATACCGTGGTCAAAGAAAATAACTCGATATCTGCAGCTCTTAGGGCCATTAGGCAGGAAAGATAACTCCACTTACCTTACTGGATTGCCTATTTGTTTTCTTTATGCTATTATTTCTTTCAAATAAAATTCGTTTTAATTCAAGCTTTTCGAGCTCAACAAAAGCCCATATTGTATCATACCTTGAGCTCAAGAAATTTGATTATTACCTTTATTCTCGTAGGCAGAGGAAAACAGGATCGAGTTTCGCGTGCTGCTTGCGTCGTCTATTTCCACTTTATGGTGCAATTGTGCATCAAACTATACACCTAAATGGCAGATTATTGCAGCAGTTTAAAGACATTATTACAGAAGATGTTCATAATGGATAGATCTATTTATTTTCTGAAATGTATAAATTGATGCATTTGCTCGTAGTGTTTTTAGAAGAATAGATCAGTTTAAGTAGCTTAAGTGGGTTTTTCTAGCGTAAAATAGATTGAGAGAGGGATTAAAAGTTATGCCGGGTTAAAACACGGAAGGAGCGGGTGACGTTTGGAGGGGAGGGGGGAGAATGGGGGGGGGGGGGGGGAGAATGGGGGGGGGGAGGGTAGATAGAAGAGAGAGTGGGATAGGAAAATTTTTGTTTTTAAAAACATAAGAAGGTGGTTTATGTGAGCCGATTGTATGTAGGACTATGTATTTAGGACTATGTTAATAGGCTATGTATCTAGCACTATGTATGTAGGACCATTATGTAGGACTATGAGTGTAGGACTATATATATAGGACTATGTATGTTGGACTATATGTCTAGGACTATGTATGTAGGACTATATATGTAGGACTATGTATGTAGGATTATGTATGTAGGACTATGTATTTAGGGCTATGTATATAGGACTATGTATATAGGACCATGTTTGTAGGACCATGTTTGTAGGACTATGTATATAGGACTATGTATATAGTACTATGTATGTAGGATTATGTATGTAGGATTATGTATGTAGGACTATGTATGTAGGACTATGTATGTAGGACTATGTATGTAGAACTATGTATGTAGGATTATGTATGTAGGACTATGTATGTAGGACTATGTATGTAGGACTATGTATGTAGAACTATGTATGTAGGACTATGTATGTAGGACTATGTATGTTGGATTATGTATGTAGGACTATGTATGTAGGACTATGTATGTAGAACTATGTATATATAGGAATACATATGTAGGACTATGTATGTAGGACTATGTATGTAGGACTATGTATGTTGGATTATGTATGTAGGACTATGTATGTAGGACTATGTATGTAGAACTATGTATATATAGGAATACATATGTAGGACTATGTATGTAGGACTATGTATATATAGGACTATGTATATAGTACTATGTATGTAGGACTATGTATGTAGGACTATGTATGTAGGACTATGTATGTAGGATTATGTATGTAGGACTATGTATGTAGGACTAGGTATGTTGGATTATGTATGTAATAAATAAAGTAATGCATCCTCTTTAGACCTAGCGATCCATTGATCAGATGGGTTACAGTTAATGTTTTGTGACCTCGGCAATTTGCCCAGCCGCCTTTACTCTCCCTAACATGAGCCTAGTTACTGAGACGAGGATTCGAACTCAAGACTTTCACTTAGACCACGCCGTCCCATAGAGTTATATGTGTAAGCTTTTGCGTTTTGGCAATATATGTAGTACAATATATGTGGGATGTGTATGTAGGATTATGTATGTAAATATATGAGTGAACTTAAAGCTACAATTGTTTTACTAAATATATTTTTCTTCAGGGTGCACTTATTTGCACATAGACCACAACAATTTAAATCTTTTTTGAAGTTTTTTGAACGCAGACATAAAAACAAAATTTCTAGTTTGAGTAATTTTTGCAATCTTTGTTTATTTACATTGATCAAATCATGAAGTACATAGCAGTATCACAAAGAAAACATAATACACTCTACTCTTCTTCACATTTTTGTGGGGGGCAAGGGTGTGTGGTGAGGAGTACGTGTAGTGATGTTTATTCTGTATCTGTGGTAGATAATTTGTTTACATGTGCATTGTGAATAGTGAGCGTCGTTTGTGTGTGTAGTTTATGTCTATTTTGTGTGTAGTTTATGTGTGTCGTTTGTGTGTGTAGTTTATGTCTATTTTGGGTGTGGCTAATGTGTGTAGTTTGTGTGTGTAGTTTATGTTTATTGTGAGTGCAGAAAGTGTGTGTGGTGTTTTTGTAGTCTGGGCTGTGTGTAGTTTAGGTGTTGGTTGTGTGTGTACTTTATGTGTGGTTTGTGTGTTTTGCGTGTAGTTTATGTGTTGGATGTGTGTGTAGTTCATGATTGGGTTGTGTGTTTTGTGTGTAGTTTATGTGAAGGTTGTGTATGTTTCTGTGTGTGATGTTCAAGTGTGTGGTATTAGCATAGTGTGTTCATGTATCACGATTGTTTATGTTTAATGCCGTGTAGGCCTACCTGTATGTACCTGCGTATGTTTTTTTTATAATAGATGTGCTTTTTGTTTAGCTTCTCATATAGAATAGTAGATCCATGGTATGATTAGCAAGTAGACACTGTACATAACACATACACATATGATTCACATAATGTGAGAAATATAAAGTCATATTCCAATAGTTATACTTTCCTAGAACACACTTGCTAACACACGTATACACACACATCGCGCTTCCCACAATCATAGGTAGGCGCATATGCACACACATACACATTTGACCACACACACACACTCAGGATATACTATTGTCATTTAAAAATATCATATTGTTACATCATTCATCATATTGTTACATCATATTGTTACATTAAACATTATAAGTAGGGCTGACTGAAAAAAAAAGTTATTAAAATAAACTATTAATTGTATATTTATTAACAAAACAGTTCACCAAACACTTTGAAATATTCTAGTTTTCTTAAAACTTTCTAAAATATCTATCCCATTCCTTTAAGGATTTATTCAATAAGATTACACTATGATTTTAATTTTATATAGAGTTTCTTCCAGACATCTCTTCGGAGAAAAAAAAGTCTGAAAGAAACACTGATTTTATATATCGTTTGTAAGTTACCATGGACAAGTTTATTCAGAGCATCAAATCATTACTTTTCCTAAAACATGTATTTGATTAAATATAATGCCTTTGAATACAACATATGAAGGGAATGAGTGATCTCTGTCACGCTGAGAGTTCGACGTCACAACGTCAATTCAATGTATTCAAATTTAAAGAGTAAATTCAACGCCCTTATTAACGTCGCAAATAATGTTGAAATGTACAAGGGGAATAACTCTTTTTTGTTCTGATTTTTTAGTTATTACTAGAGTACCGTCCCTGGAAATGTTTGTCATGCGCACTGGACTGTTAGTGGATTTCCCATTGGACACAACGTATCATCAGAAGACGACCTAGGTGGTCGAGTAGAATGTCCAGGCTAGTTTATGCTGTGTTTTATGCGATATGTACCATTGTCACAGTCAACTCAACGTCACAAAGTCAACGTCACAGTAACTCAACGTCACAAAGTCAACGTCATAGTAAGTCAACGTCACTAAGTCATCTTAATACCATTGTCAAACACAACCTCACGAAGTCAATGTAACAGTAATTCAACGTCACAAATTCAAACCAACGTTACAGTAACTCAACGTCACAAAGTCAACACAACCTCACAAAGTCAGCTAAACGTCATAAAGTCAAATTCAACGTCAACATGAGAACAACTCAGTCTGTTCTCCTCAGTCACATTACCGCACCGCATGACTGAACTCATGTCCTTGACCTTTTAAAAGTACAATCACCTGTTTTCCTCATCCCAAATTGACACCCTCTATAGATATGTTTAAAATCAACAAACGTGAAAGTTTTTGGAATTGAATTCCTAAACTGGCCAGCTGCTGTCTTGAGCCTCGTGTAAGCGATAATTGTGTAACAGTTTTTATAATTAAATTAAATTCCTAAACTGGCCAGATGCTGTCTGGCCTTGAGCCTCAGGTCAGCGATTATTGGATAAAAGTTTTTAGAATTAAATTCCTAAACTGGCCAGATGCTGTCTTGAGCCTAAGGTCAGTGATTATTGTGTAAAAGTTTTTAGAATTAAATTCCTAAACTGGCCAAATGCTGTCTGGCCTTAAGCCTCAGGTCAGCGATTATTGTGTAAAAGTTTTGAGAATTAAATTCCTAAACTGGCCAGATGCGGTCTTGAGCCTAAGGTCAGTGATTATTGTGTAAAAGTTTTTAGAATTAAATTCCTAAACTGGCCAAATGCTGTCTGGCCTTGAGCCTCAGGTCAGTGATTATTGTGTAAAAGTTTTGAGAATTAAATTCCTAAACTGGCCAGATGCTGTCTGGCCTTGAGCCTCAGGTCTGCGATGCTCGTGTTCTTGTTGGCCCTAAAGCCGCAGGAGCCGTTGGGGCTGCTGCTCCGGCTGCTAGACATCGTCGAAGTGGGCGGAGTTGAGGCGGTGGGCGTGGTGTTGGTAGGCCGAATGACGTTGGGCAACACAGGGGGCGGAGCGGACACGCTGGTGGTCCCGCCGCTTCCGGTGCTGCTGTTGTTCCGGGATGCGACGATGCTGTTGACGAGGGAGCTGGCGCTGTGGGTGCCGGGTGGTAAGGTGGTAGCCGGCAACATGCCGGCAAAGTTGTGGAAGCCGGGGTTCATGAGGAGGGGGTTGGTTGAGTTGAGAGACGCCGAGAGGGCCGCTAGGTGGTGCTGGAAGAGCAGCATGGGGTGGAGGGCGTGGTGCGTTGCCATGGCGGCGGCCACGGCGGCGCTGCTGGGGTGGAGGTGGAGGTAGGGGTAAAAGGGCGGGGGTGGGGGAGGTAGGGGCACGCGTTCCATGCGCTCCGACATGGGGGGAAGCCCGACGAAGGATGACACCCTGCACGAGTCCAGAGGCGTGCCCAGGGGGGTGGGGAGTATAAGACCTGCTGAGTCAAAAGAGAAAAAAAAGTTTGGGTGAGCAAGAATCAAAATGTATGGAAAATGTTGTTTACAAAAAAATGCAATAAAAAACTTTAAGCCAATTAATTTCCGTCCTGTTATTATTTCCTTTGTATTATATATATATATATATATATATATATATATATATATATATATATATATATATATATATATATATATATATATATATATATATATATATATATATATATATATATATCTTAGTTAAGTTCCTTGTGTTATCTACATCATAGTTATGTTCCCTGAATGGATAGTCTCTGAGTACTGTTTAGCCGTGGTGTGTGAGTTTGCTCTGAATGTGTCTTTAGAAAAGACGTGTCGTCGGGGCTGTACTGTGTATGAATAATAAAGTAACTTGAATGTGTGTACTGCTATACCTGATGTGCTACAAAATAAGTAATATCACAGTTACCACTACTTCCGCTGTCACATCATGGCGAAAACACAAACTCCATTTCCCCTAAAAGAGCTTCTCAGAAATTTCCCCCTCCCCACGCGGCTCCATCGTTTCTAAGAGAACATCACAAACAAAATTCACAAAGGGACCCAACTCCCAAACCCTACCTCTTTAACTAGATTTACCCTTACGGTAAGTTTAATAAATCAAAACAAATATATTTTCCAATCCTAGCAGTATTTGATTTTCCCCTCGTCGAGATTGATTAACAAAAACAATTAAAATTTAATACAAAATAAAATGTGTGTCTAAACGTAAAATTGATTTTTTTTTAAATCAATAAAACTTTTTCAAACATCGGAATGACTGCAATAAACATGATTCAAAATTTGACAGTTGTTTCAAGAATATTTTCCACGAACTCAATTTTTTTTTTCATAAGCACAAAACAAATAAAAAAGAAAAACGTGTATAGATCACTCGGACGAATAATAACTCTTGCAGCTTCAACATAACCTGCTACAAAATATGATTTATTGAGTTATCCCCCTTGCAACAACACCATGCATTTTAAATGAGCACATTGAATTCATCATCCCGGCAATTTCCGACATTTTTTCCCCCTTTTTGCGCGGATTAACCTCGTTTTTTTCATGACGTCTCTTCCGGTCTCGCTTTAAGCAAATAATTCATATCAAGTTCATCTTTCCTCTGCCGGCTTGAAGTAACGTGAACGATCATTGGCCATTTATCGCCGGCACTTAATCTTGATATTTCATTGGCTGACATGACACGTGGTATTGATCGCTGATTGGTTGAAATAAAGACGTAACAGGGGCCTGCCCTTCCCGTCCCGGGCAATCGGATTTTTTTTTTCCCCCGGATGTTTTAAGAATAATCATTTTCTTGTCCCTCTCACTCAGAGTTTCTTCCAGGCATCTCTTCGGGGGGGCAAAGCCCCCCCGAAAATTTTTTACCGCCCCCCCCCGAACGAAATGAAATTTATATAATTTATATAGAAAATATATACTTTTAACAGTGTCCGCCCCCCCCCCCGAAGAAAGTTTACCGCCCCCCCGAAGATTTCAAGTGCCCCCCCCCCCCCCCCGGAGAAAAAAAATCTGGAAGAAACACTGCTCTCACTCTCACCCCCCCCCCCCCCCCCCACGCACACACACACACACGCACACACACACATACCTTTCCCTCTTCTTCCTATAGAAATACCATCTATAAAACAGACAACCAGCAACCTTCGAGCCTTTGGTTCTAACCCTAAACTGAGGCCTTACCTCCTATCTTTTTTTTCTTAGCTGATCGTTCATTACTCAACCCCTTTAGCAGCCTACTTAAGTAGTGCCTTTGCTCTATGCATAAATATAACCCTAACCTTAAATCTAGTACCTAGACATCATCTAATGATAGAGTTTACACGTTAGATTTAAAAAAAAAAAACAAAAAAAAACTATTTCCTTTTAGCTGAAGCCTTAGTTTAGTATAAAACTTACCGCATAATTTCATGAACTTTCATTAAGGTAAGTTATAATAATAAGTTATAATAATAAATTCATAAATAAATTTAAGAATTTATTGGATTTCGTTGGATTCCATCAGATTCCATTGGATTCCATTATATCACATTGGATTGCATTGTATTACATGTAATTCCATTGTATTACAATGAATTCCATTATATTACATTTTATCCCATTGTATTACATTGAATTCCATCCCAAAGAAGTTACAATATTTTTTTAAATCACACCCCACCAAAGACAAATACGTTAGTAAATAAAAGGACAGTAATTCTCCTTACCCTCTAAGAGCCACTAAACATTCAAAACTAGCAAAGAACAATAGTGAGTTTATCAAGTGCCACCCCCCCCCCCCCCCCCTTCTTTCCGACACTGTATTTCGTCTGAACTAATCTGAGCTAATCTTAACGCAATCCAAAGCTAGAGTGAAAGAAATACTGCAATAACGAAGACCAATACGGAAGGCAAGGGGCTCAATCGGGGTTTCTTTCTGTCATTATTCCTCCAGGGGGGGGGGGGGGGAGAATTAAAACTTCCGGGGGTTGGGGGCGCACCTAACATTTCCGGGGGAAAGGCGTCACTGGTGAAAGTCTATATTCTCTATATAAGTTATATATTTTATCTATTTATACCAAAGGGGAGGCAGTAATCGTGATCCGGGGATAAGCCCCCCCCCCCCTCGTAGAGACGCAATACAGAATATACACCAAGTACTAGTTGAGAAGTAGAGTACCAAGTAGATGGGTACAAAGTAGAGCACCAAGTGGCTCCATCTATCTATATATATAATTCTCTTCTTCGAGCCGTTAGAAAACAAGCTGCAAACGCTCTCCCTACCTCCCCACCCCTACATGGTTTTAGTGAGCTGTGTTCACTCTAAATGTTTACAAGCAGAGCCAACGATTTTAAACGTAGGGGGGGGGGGGGGGAGGAGGGGGGGAGGGAAGGAAGGGGGGGGGGTTATGGTCCTTAACGAGCTACTTATAGTGTTTTAAAGAAATATTTTCAGTGTCAGCGTTGGTACTGTCGAATTCACAAATTATGAATTATTGAAAATTAGAAACAACTAAATAGCGGCGTATGTTATGCCGCGGGCCGGCTCGTATATAATGTTAGGTGTATATGGTAGAATGTCACATTTGTCACACTGATATCAAAAAGCGCCAATTACAATATAAGGAGCGCCTATTTAGAATATAAGGGGCGCCAATTTAGAATAAAAAGGGCGCCGATTCAGATTACAAGAAGATCCAATTCAGAATAAAATGTGAATAAAAGTAGAACACAAACAGTGCAGGAGAGATGGGGCGCCACATGAAATACAATTACGCGGAGTCCAGAGATTGGGTGGGGGGGGGGGGGGGGTGGTCTCACAAAAAAAGGCGCGACGGTGGGGCGTGTAGTGGGGGTGGGTGGGGGGTAGTAGAGGTCGACGTGGTCAATGTTGAAAGCCAGAGAAAAAAATTCATCAGCGTAGAAAATAAACTTGTACAAATTGTGGAACTCTTTTGTGTGAGAAGAAATAAAATATTTTTCTATCGCTACGGTAAAAAAAGGTATTGATTTAAGTTTATTATGTCTGTAGATTAACACTTTTTCCTCGTATATTTAGCAGACATTGTAAAACAGCGGGACGAAACCCCTGAGCTTGGGAGGGAAAGACACATTTGGAGTAGTTTATTATGAATAGGGTAATCGCTCGTTTTATAAATCACTGCAAAGAATTAGGGCCGCGTTTCCGCGCGTAGATTGCGGGACACCGCGCGCGTTTCTGATCAAATGTTTATCTTCCCCCATTAATCATGTCGCGAGACCGGCTCGCACTAGGAGCGGGGCGGTCTTGATTACGGAAGTAAATCCCAAAAAATAACTGGCTCGCTCTCATTCAGACCCCCCGGGTTTCGGGGTCCGTGTTTTTTGTTTGGGCAATGGACAAGAAGTAATTGTTCGATTAGATGGATAACACTCAGTTAACTGCCCTTCCCGGATGGCGGTAGCCCGGGACATTGAGAAGGGAGGGGAAGTGACTCTGAGGATTGATTAAACCGAGGGATCGGGAATTTCCTGTTGTCTCTCTCGGACAATTACGCTGAGCAAATTGTTGAAATTGTGGAAATTCCCGGAGATTAGATCTTATTTCGGCCAATAAGACTCGACGGGTTATTTATGAGTTTGTGCGACCGGGCCCTGCGTCTTTTTGAATGGCCAGTTTGTTGAGAGTTGTCGGGGTGGGTGGGGGTGGGAGGAGTGAGTTTGGGGTGGGGAGGGGTTGGTGGGTGGACTGACTTTGGGGTGGGGTAAGGACTCGAAGGGAGTAGCGAATATATTAGAATCTGTTATAGATACCGGGATTTGTAAATTGTTGTAAGGGTGGGTGGGGTCGGGTAGAGTCGGGGGGTTGGGTTTGAGAACAAGGGGGTGTTGAGTTAACACTTTGCGGCTGTTGTTTCCAATGCCGTCTCCTGATTAACTCGTCTCCATGACTGCAAAGGGGTTAAGAACCGAAAATTTTCGCCCCCCTGATAATAAATAATTACAACTGTGGGTGGAGAAAGGGTTAAGAATCGGAATTGTTTTCCTTAAATAGATAGAAATAATGTCCGTCTATGCCACACACAGTTTGTGAGGCTGGCTAATGTTTCTGGCATACTTACACAAATGCAATCTGAAACCTTATATGAAAAAACAGTGCTATGTCATCCTGTTCCGCTGCACTTTTGGAAATATGAATTACATATAGCTTGCGTTATCAAAGCGGAAAGTTCAATATAAATGTATAATGAAAGTTTAAATATACGATTACTATTGTTATATACAAAGTAGGTTGAAGAATCCGGGTTTTTTTTTATTTTTATTATTTACTGTCTTTGGGTATTTTGGAAATATAAAGATTGTACCTTAGGTCAGGTATCGGTTTGAATAACTTGCATAGTTCGTTTCTATCCTTTGGTTCTCACCAGGCTTATCTTCCATCCCACTGAACGCAGGGTAAAGTCGTACCCCACCGTCCAGTAAAAATGAAATTATATAA